ACGCTGTTTTGTTGTGAAAGTGAAACTACTTTGTTTGGCCTTCCAAAAGAGGACATGACTAGAAATCAGTGGTTAAGTTGTATTTACAACACTGTTCCAGAACAGTTCAACCCAAATATTCAGATGTGTGCAGCGCATTTTACAGAGGACTGTTTTCTGAACCTGAGGGAGTAGCCTACAATGCCGGCTGTTCTGACTCACAGCCTGTAAGTACATTTTCATATTTAAAGAATTTGCCACTGATGATTCAAACGTGAGTTTTGAGCAGTGTAGAGTAGCGCTTGTTGTTTGTCGTTTCTTCGATCACAAATTACATGGTTTTATGTTTACGTGGCGTGATACGCAACGCTTAAAAGACAGTAGAAGTCATTATAATCAGTAATTATGTCCCCACTGGATGCAACAAATGCCTCGTTTGTAATGGGTTTTATTGGTTTTGTGTCGTTGCGCCGGGACACGGCATCACAGTATGGTAAGGGGCGTCACATTTCCGTCACATGCTTGAGGTATTCGGTCAATCACAACGCACTGGATAGCTGGCCAATCAACGTATACCTCGCTTTTCAGACCGATGAGCTTTGTAAAAATCAACGCGTTTCAGAAAGGCGGGGCATAGAGGAGCAACAATAATGTACAGTATGTGGAAAATAATGTGTTTTTTTATCCTTAAACCATATAAACACATTGCATTACACCAAATACACAAAATAATGTTCTTTTTTAGCAACGTCATATGACCCCTTTAAGGCATGTATTCTTTAGTAGATTTGTTTTTCAGCTTCTCACATTTTATTTGCTTGCCAAATCCAATTTCTATATGCGTTTGGCACTAGGTGAGTGTTACTTTTGGACCCTGGGTTACAGGATACACTGGATGAAAAAAACCCTCCAGCCTCCACCCAGATAATCGTTCCATCACATATAAATGTAGACTCGCACACATTCACTTTACCACTTGTGCAACACTTCTCAAATTGCTCCTCTGAGAGCCCAAACACTTCACAGGTGTGTACATTCCAGAAGAGTCTACCGGTCACATCAACCGACCTGCCATTTATTTATTTACATATTCAATGTGACTACCTGCCCCTCAGGAATTGCCGTGTCCCAGTTTCCCCTGTGAGAGGATCAGGCGGTGGGCTCAGGCTCCTTTGAGCGCTGGCCCCTACTTGGCTCTCAGGAGGCGGTGCTCTGTGCACTAGACAGGCAGATGCTCAGTGCTGCTGAGGGAACCGGTGCCCGGAGGGAAGGCCACAGCGGCCCCAAGTCATCCATCTGCTTTTATCAACTCTTATTTAATGCATGCGATGAGCCCCTCCACCCCTATCTCTCCCCCTCTCTCTCACTTTCTCTGATTTTTAGACTTATTTTAATGCACTCTTCTAAAATTGAAAAGTCAGTTGCTGTAAACACTCTGTCTTTTATTCTCCACTCTCCTTTGCCCTTGTCTCACCCGCTAGTTCTGATGGGATAAAACATGTAATGGTGATAAAAGCATGGGCCTTTGGGTGTAGAAGCTGAACAGGAGTGGTTGAGGTGAATGTTTGGTTCACAGTGGTCTCTTAAGATGCCCTTTTCTTGTCTCTGATTCTTTTTAATCCCTTCACAGGTTGCGGCGAGACCTGGAGCAGCTGGTGCTGTTCCTCCACCACCACCAGGGGGAATTGCACCTCCACCTCCTCCTCCACCTCCTCCACACCCCCCAAGTGGAGGCATTCCACCTCCTCCACCTCCTCCTTGTCCTGCATCTCTGGGACCTCCTATATATATTAGGGCTGGGCAAGTTAACGCATTATTATCGTCTATTAATTATTAATTAACGCAGACAAATATTATATTTATTTATTTATTATATTTTATCGCGCATTAACGCAGTTTTTATTATTATTTTGAATGTCCGTTGCTCACTGGCTCTGAATACACATACAGACAAACCATGGGTCACAGGAGGGGTGGGATGTTGATCAGTACTGTTTTGGGATGGGCGTCATCACGCGTCTCAACCAATGAGAGCATTTGGAGTGGGCCTAACATCGTGTCTACACCGGATGCGAGCGGCGCGGCGCAACAAAATACTATAGAACCCATTATAATCAGTGATGCTGTCTACACTGGATGCGGCACGGCGCGACACAACAAATCCCCGACAGTAGACTGCTGCCTCATTCTATCTATGACCACCTCCTCCACCACCACCAAGTGGAGGCATTCCACCTCCTCCACCTCCTCCTTGTCCTGCATCTCTGGGACCTCCACCCCCTCCACCTCCACCTGGCTGCGGACCTCCACCACCACCTCCACCTCCCGGAGGAGGCCCACCCCCACTTCCGGGTATGCCTTTGGCTCCTCCTCCACTCGTTGTCCAGCTGCCTTATGGACTGGTGCCCAAGAAGACCTACAAACCTGAGAGCGTCATGAAGCGGGTGAACTGGTCCAGGGTAAGACACTGAACATCACTGGAGCTTAAATGGTTTAAAAACACACATGTTCTGAGAACCGCATAACACACTCCAAGGTCAGCAGTAAATTGCAAATAGTAGCAGTAATTTAGCCTTCCCAGTGTGTAAGAGGAAGACAAGAAGAAAGGATGAAAAAGAGAGAGCAACTTTTTCAGTTGGAGTTGATGGTCCAAAGCCTACGAGTACATGCAGCTTATTAAAAAGAGCATTGAGCCATGAGACTCATGACTTGCCACTCTGCCTCCCTTTCAAGATATCAGGCCGTAAACTATTTCATTAGCTCAAGTGCCCTTGCGCACACATTCTGGTCGTAATTGAATAAATTTTTGAGTTAAAATGAAACAAAACACAAATATATAAATCAATGTTGCGTAATCCTCCATCGCATTTAAATGCGATTTCTGTGGGTCAACCTCTTCACATCATATTTTTCCTTTTAACTCTCAATCGTTAATTTACCCATCGCCTTGGGGATTTTAACAGTCTGAAAACTGGATTAATTTATTTGTACTTTTTCATGCTTCTGCTCGAACTTGTCTTTAACATCTTTATGCATCAGTGCAGAGAGGATACACTCAGTCTTATATATATATATATATATATATAGCCGAGATACAACTATTTAAAAATCTGGAATCTGAGGGTGCAAAAAAAACACAAAATTGATTGACAAATGATTTGCAACGGGTGACGCATCCAGTCATTGTAGACAGACTTTAGCTGTTGCGGCTCACTGATCTATAATAGAGAAGATATATATAGATCAGTGTTGCGGCACGACAACTGTTGCATCCGGTGTATAGGATCGCAATGAATGACGGCACGAATGATTTGTCGTGTCACGCCGTGCCGCATCCAGTGTAGAGAGAATCACTGATTATAATGGGTTCTATAGTATTTTGTCGCGCTGCGCCACTCGCATCCGGTGTAGACATGGTGTCAAGATGCACCATCACAAGAATACACAAATTATATGAAAAGGAGATTTTATTTTGATTACATGAATGTTTAAGTTGAGATTTACAAGAAATATTTGAACTGCTACAATGTAAAGGGAATACTGCTGTAAAGCATCTTATTTGTTTAAAGTGTTTGCAAGCCAAATGTTATTGAACGTGTCAGGTTACGTATGTAACCATGGTTCCTCGAGGGAACGAGACGCTGCGTCGGAGGACTCTCTGGGAACGCCCTTCAGCATGACCGGCTCTGAACCACGTGTGTAATCAGTCCAATGGATGGGCGAGACGTCACTGGCAGGGTGACATAGCGACCAGGAAGCTTAAAAGCACGTGCGGTGAAACCGGCATCAGCTTCTAGGAGTGAAGCAAGCGCTGGCAGAGATGCCGGAAGTATGGCCCCGAGACGCAGTGTCTCGTTCCCTCGAGGAACCATGGTTACATGCGTAACCTGAGACATGCCTCTTCAGGAACTCGAGCTGCGTTGGAGGACGCTTTGGGAACAAGTATGCCCACGCCGCCAAACTTTAAAATCTCTGCCTAGTGTGGAAGCCTGGACAGCTAAGGCGAGAGAACAGAAGAGCCAGGAGAGCAGTTGGTCCGCCCTTCTCCACAGGGCAGTTCTCGCACTGGACACATACAGTTTAGCTTCTGCTGGTCTGGATCCCCTAACCGGGCAGTTTACTGGGTCGAGCTGGCGGTCTCCGCACCATGAAGTGAAAAGTTTCCACTTCAAGGCATACAGTTTCCTCGTTGAG